AACTACAACAATTAAACTCACCTGAGTGCTAACCTGTTTCAAAAACCATTAAAATCAAATTGAATCAACTAGCAAAAAAGTAGAAGAGTTTTCAAGATAACAAATAAACTTGCAACATATTGTGGAAAATAGATTTTTATAATCTTCTGGTGATATTTTAAAGCTATATCTTTGTTTGGTATATTCATGAACATAAAATGTCATTACTGCCACCGGAGCTTAAACCCTGTATTTATTAAAGAATCTCCTATTGCAATTTTGCATTCCACAACATATAAATGCTAGATTTAACTGTGGAAAAGTTATTTATATATAACATAAAAGTAAATACACATGGCAAGCTACTTAACAAGAGAACAGAGGATATATATATTAATATAATATTTAATAACCTTACTGATCAGTCAATAATTAGATTAAAATTAAGACTTGACAATGACTTTGCATAATCACACATATGTTCGAATTAAAGGCCAACATTACCAGTAGTCGATAGGGGTAAGATATGGCACATGGAGAACAAGTGCCTTCATTGAGCCAAAGTCAGTCAATAAGTCTCACTCTTGAAATTTTCCCCCAGGTGGTTGAAATGGATATTTATTTTAATGTTTTGCTACCAATTCAAGCACTGAAGTATTTACTCTAATAAAAGAAATGTTTCCAATACACACAAACGAGTTTCTGTTATTATTTTAAGTAAAAGCAATATGTGTTTCAGGTCAAAAGATTTAGAAGAGTTAACAGTAGAAAGTGTTCACTTCTTATGGATGTGTCAAGAGTTACAATCTCTTCTGTTGTTTGCTGACCTTCTAAGTGACTTCGAGAAACAAGTAAGTGGGAAGTTAATATATTGTTAATTCTAAAGTACATTTTAAAAAGTTTTATTTTTAATGTTTTATTAACTCCTTATGCATGAGCATGTTGAGTATTTGCCACTTCATGCCTAACATCTAATTTAAGGATGTATAGAAAAGAATAGAAAAAGAAATTGTTTCTTCACAGATCTTCAATTTCTCTTCTAAAAAAGGGCCAAATTAAATAGTTTGTCATGTGTGTGTAAATAAATTATATAAAATCCCATCTCTTAAGATTTGTTGTGGTGTTTCTATCACTTTTATCATGAACCACTCTTGTGGTTCATAATATGGATTACAATGAATTGTACAAAACCCTAATAGAACGTTTGGGCAAAAAGCACCTTAAACAGTAAAGATTCAGTTCAAACAACACTTTAAAGCCTTTACTATTGACTTCTAAGGCTTTACACACACACAAAAAAAAAAACATGCATCTTAAACATACAAGGAAAAGAAAATCCACTCAAAATAATTTGGTATATTTTTGTAGAATACTAAATAAGGTACTGCAAAGGTCATAGGGGTATTGAAAAGTCGATTTGTGAATCCTATATTTTACATAAGCTAAAAAAACATCATAACTCTAGTGTAAATGTTATCATTACCACTTGAAGTTAGATTTCTTACAGATATCTGATGTTCCTTTAAAAAGCTTATACATAGGGTGAAACAGGAATTACCAGCCAACATGGATGAACATTAGATCACTGTAACGAGTAGATACTCAATGCTTTGTACAGTATACAGTCGGTGTGTTTAGGGAGCCAACCCCTATATTATGTATGATATGAAGGAGTAAAAAAAATCAATACACATGGTATTAAATGTCATTACACACATTCGTAGAATAATTACTTTTAAAAGATATGAAGGTTTATTTAAAGCAGTGTTTTAGACATGTATGTTTTATTTGAAAAGGCTGCTTTTCTACTGATAAAATTTTATACAAGCTTAGTGGGACTTCTGTATTAATCTAGGCATATATTTGCCCATTGCTATGCATTATATTATAGAGAGAATGTAGTTACACAGAAACTATAAATACTCGCTGTATTCTCAAACAAATCTCCAGCTGCAATTTAACATTTTAAATCTCGAACTAATGCAATCAAATAGTCAGTAGCTACAGTAAATCATTTTGAACTGTATCATCTAGCTACTTGCTATGTTTATTATCATTACAATGTATAAAGTTAGCTACCATATCAAGTAATCCTTTGCCCATAGTTGAGCACAAAAAATGCCAGCAAACAAGATAAATAAAAAATTGGGAATTTAAAAATTATTTACTCAAACTACAAATCCTTATTTTGACTTCACTAAATGTAACTCTAGGTAACAGCATGGAGCCAAAATAGGGGTTTGTAGTTTGAGTAAATAATATCTAC